GCCACGCTTAAGCAGTGATGGGGGTCTGGCATCGGAGTTCATGGCTATAGGATCCATTGGCTACCATTTTTGGGCAAGAAGGTAAAGGACCCACAACTTCTGGGTCTTCGTCGCCCGAGCACACCATATGTGGTCAACTTCATCTTGCTTATGCGGCCACTCGGGCCAACACTGCTAATATATTCACCAAGGCACTTCAGCCTGGTGATCATCATCGTTTATGTATTGTTTTAGGTCTTGTGCCTATTGTGCCTCACTTGCTCACTTCGTGACTTTGCTTGTACTGTGATCTTTATGCATATACCCGCATGTCTGTACTTGCTATGTTATGATCACTGTACAGTTTGTTCCCTGTTATTTAACTCTGAATGTGAACTGGCCTTCTCGTCGTTTGCTTGTGCTCGGAATGTGTGGTGACTTCGTGATCCACCCTGAGCTTCCTTTGCTTGCTTGACTGGTCTTGTGACCACTTTTTCCCCCCCACTTTGCCTATGGGGGTGTGTCAAAATGTTATGTTGTGTAGGCTGTAGTGGGACAGCCCACAACTTCTGCGTCTTTTGCTCCTAGTGGGAAGCCCCGCAGCGTCAAGGACAAGGGAGGCAAGGGTGTTGGAGGTGGCAGCAGGGGTTGTGGTGGTGGAGGCGGTGGAGGAGGTGGAGGTGGCGGAGGTGGTGGTGGGAGTGGTGGCGGGGGTGGGGGCGTCGGTGGGGCAGCCCACAACTTCTGCGTCTTCTGCTCTTAGTGGGAAGTGCCGCAGCGTCAAGGGTAAGGGAGGCAAGGGTGGTGGAGGTGGCAGCAGGGGTTGTGGTGGTGGAGGCGGTGGAGGAGGTGGAGGTGGCGGAGATGGCGGTGGGAGTGGTTGCGGAGGTGGGGGCGTCGGTGGCGGCGGGGGTACCAGTGGTGGGGGTGGTGGTGGCAGCGGTGGCGGCAGTGGGAGTGGTGGCGGCGGCAGTGGTGGCGGTCGGGGTGGAGCTTTTCAGAAGGGAGGTTCTAGCGGTGGCCCGAGGCAGCAGCAGCAGCGCCCGAGTGAGACCCCTACGCCTCAGCAGCTTCGTGAGTGGTTTGCTCAGCGTGGGGCATCAGGGGGTAGCGTTCGTTGCCCGTATGTCATTGGCACAGGTGACCGCACTGGTCAGAAATGCGGGAAGTTTCACACACAGCACCGCTGCTTCTCCCGCCTTGACGACGCTTGGCGTGCAGAGTTTGGCGATGAGGCTGAGCGCCCCCGCTGGCTAGAGCTGCTTAGGTCTGGTGTTGATATCTTTGCTCTTGGCTATGATGCTATCCTTGCTGCCATGTATGCATTGTCTGTTAGTGCTGAGGGTGACTGTTACCTGTCTGTGCCGCCCGACCCAGGCATAGAGGTTGCCGCTCTAGGTGCTAGTGAGTCTGCTCTCCTTGGTACTGCATCTACTGAGGCCTTGCACACCTTCACGCTTGACTCAGGTGCTTCCCGCTGTTTCTTTCATGACAGTACCACACTCACACGGCTCCCTGCACCCGTTGCAGTCAAACGGGCTGACCTCTCAGGGAGCCCAGTTCTTGCACGTTCCACCACTGTTCTCCCGTGTCCGGAGGTTCCGTTTGGCTCACTGTCAGGTCTTCACCTCCCCTCGTTCTCTACGAACTTGGTGAGTACCGCTGCCCTCTAGGATGCAATGGTCACTACCACCACTACTGGAGGTCCGCGTGTGGCGATCTGCATGTGTACACGGACGGGCTGTCACCTGGCCACGTTCTCCCGTCGGCCCGGGTCGTGTCTGTACACACTGACTTCTGAGCCTGCTCAGGTAGTCGCTTCTGGTCAGGTGTCCCCGTCAGGCTAGGTAGCTGCCTCCTATTCGTGTCGCCTCCTATTGCACCAGACTCTCCTTTGGCACCACCGCCTTGGTCACCCCTCCCTGCCACGTCTCCATGGCATGCACTACCGCCTCCTTGTCTCTGGTCTTCCCAGGTCTCTGCCTCCTCTCCCGCCCTCACCTGCCCCTACCTGCATTCCTTGTGTCAAGGGGCGGCAGCACACCGCTCCTCACTCCTCCGAGTTTCCCCCGACGACTGTTCCCCTGCAGACTCTCCACATGGACGTGTGGGGCCCAGCCCGCGTCAGTGGACAGGGCCGCGAGCGATACTTTCTGCTGGTTGTTGACGACTACTCGCGTTACAACACTGTCTTCCCCTTGTGCAGCAAGAGGGAGGTCCCTGATGTTTTGATCCCTTGGATCCGCGTTGTCCGTCTCTAGCTCCGCGAGCGGGTCGACACGGGCCTTCTTGTCCTGCGTCTGCACTCAGACAGAGGTGGAGAGTTTTTCTCCGCCAGACCTTCACACTTCCGGCCTCCCCGCAGCAAATGGGATTGTTGAGCACCGCATTGGCTTGGTTATGGAGGTGGCTCGTACCTTCATGATCCATGCAACTTCTCCCCATTTTCTGTGGCTGTTTGCGGTCCGGTACGCCGTGCATTAGCTCAACCTCTGGCCCCAAGTCTCCTTGCCAGAGACCTCGCCGACACTGCACTGGACGGGGGAGGTTGGCGATGCGTCGGTGTTCCGGGTCTGGGGCTCTTATGCCTTTGTCCACGATACTTCCGCGGACAAACTCTCTGCCCGCGCCATTCCCTGTGTCTTCCTTGGCTTTGTCCTTGACGCACTTGGCTGGCAGTTTTACCACCCCACCGCACGTCGTGTCCTGCCCTCTCAAGACGTCACGTTTGACGAGTTGGTTCCCTTTTACTATCTCTTCCCCTACCGCACTGCCCCTCCCCCCCCCCCCCGCCGCTCTTCCTCGCTCCAGGTCCCCCTCCTATAGACCCCCTCCCCCTTCAGGGTCCTGCTTCTTCAGGTGTGTCTCAGGTAGACCCCCTCCCCTTGGTTGAGCCATCGAGGTCACTATCGACTCTGGTGCTGCTCGATGTACTGCGTCTGGGGGTACTGAGCCTGTTCGTTAGGAGCCTAGGGGTGCTGAGCCTGGGGATGCTGGGTCTAAGGGTGCGGAGCTTGGGGGTGCTGAGCCTGGGGGTGCTGAGTCTGAGGGTGCGGAGCCTGAGGGTGCGGAGCCTGGGGGTGTTGAGCCTGGGGATGCTGAGTCTGGGGGTGCTGAGCCTGGGGGTGCTGCGTCTGCTGGAGGTCCCTTGGGTGCCTCGTCACGACGGCCTCTCTCGCCACAGGAGCTGCGCGAGTGTTTTGCTTGGCGCACCCGCCTTCGGAGTCGCGCTGCTGGAGCTGGAGGCCCTGCCGCTGGAGGCACTGCTGCTGGAGGTGCTGGCGCTGGAGGCGCTGGAGCTGCTGGTCCTGGAGGTGCTCGTACTGGAGGTACAAGAGCTGCCACGGCTGGTGGTACTGCTGGAGCTAGAGGTACTGCAGGCGCTGGAGCTGGAGGCACTGGAGCTGGAGGCACTGGCACTGGAGGTGCTGGTGCTGGGGGCACTGGATCTGGAGGCCCTGGAACTGGAGACACTAGAGCTGGAGGAGCTGGAGCTGGAGGCACTGGCACTGGAGGTTCTGGCGCTGGAAGCACTGGAGCTGGAGGCGCTGGAGCTGGAGACACTGGAGATGGAGGCGCTGGAGCTGGAGGCACTTGCGCTGGAGTTGCTGGCGCTGGAGGTGCTGGAGCTGGAGGCACTGGAGTTGGAGGCGCTGGAGCTGGAGGCGCTAGAGCCGGAGGCACTGGAGATGGAGGCCCTCGAGCTGGAGGTACTGGCGCTGGAGGTGCGGCCGCTGGGAGTGCTGGAGCTGGCGGTGCTGGTGCTGGAGGCACTGTGCAGCAGCGACCATTTTTCGTTCAGCCCCCACCATCGACGGTGCCGCCACCTGGCTTGGTACTTCGCCAGGTTCTGGATCTCTCATCATCTGCTAGTCTTACTCCTCCCTTACTCTGTCCACCGCCTGACCAGTCGCAGCCACAATTACAGCCAGACTCCTCACTGCCTGCCCCTTGTCCTTACACCGCGTAGACAGACTATCTTACAGAGCGCCGTGAGCCTGAGTCTCGTCCTGCCTCGCCTGTTCGCGCTATTCGCACTGGTCGTCGTGTTCCTCGTCCTCGTCCTCCTCCTGTCCCCGGCACGCACACTATGGCACTTCGTCCTTCCTCTGTTCCACATCGTGTCCCTCTGCCGTCTCCTCCTGCATCCTCTCTTGCTGACGGTCCAGACCCTGATTCTGACTTAGTTTGTGAAGGAATGAGAAATGAGAGAAGAGGTGGTTTCACTAGCAGCAATGAGGATACATATAGCAAACCCTAGATGGGTTGTACTCGCTATAGAGCACCCCACTACAGGCTAGAGAATAACATTCTGACACACCCCCATAGCCAAAGTGGGGTGTAATCAGTACAATGAGCAAGCAGGTATAGAGCAGGAGTTCACAAAGGTAAGCAAAGCTAGAGGCTATCACAGAGGGCAAGTGAGGAGGAGGAGAGACTGTGGAGGGAGAGAATATGCAAGGCAACGACTGAAGCTGTAGAGGCACGGGCAGAGGAGCGGCAGACTCAGTGGCTACCGAAGCAAGGGCGACGGACTACTGGAGTAACTGGCTCCACGGCTATAGACGAGCGGCAGGAGCAACGGACCCACTGGCGACTGGTGCAACAAGCTCACTGGCTACCAAAGCAAGGGCGACGGACTACAGGCGCTGCAGGCAACACGACAGCTACCTTTGTGAAGTTGAGAGAGGAATGAATGCACTATGAAATGAAACGAGTACAAGTACCAACCCTAATTGGGTTGTACCCCCTATGGGCTACCCCACTACAGCCTAAATATATGCATCAGCAATATAATCATCTGACACACCCCCATAGGCAAAGTGGGGAGAGCAAGGGGTCACAAGACCAGTCAAGCAAAGCAAAGCAAAGCAAAGCAAGCTCAGGGTGGATCTCAAGGATACCACACAAATTCCGAGCACAAGGTCAAGGCCACAAGGCCAGTTCACATGCAGCATATATATATAACAGTGCTAAACAAGCGAGAGCAAGAATACATATATGCAGCAGTACAAGCAAGGTCAAGAGGTAAGCAAGTGAGGCCCAGTGGGCACAAGGCCTAGCAGAGTACAAATGCGCTGATGGTCACGAGGCGAAAGTGCCTTGGTGAACACATCAGCAGTGTTGGCCTCAGTGGCCACGAAACGCAGGCGAAGCTGACCACGCTGCTGCAGCTCTCGAGCAAGGAAGTAGCGCAGAGCAATGTGCTTCGTCCTGTGCTCCAGTCTGTGCTCCTGACACAAGGCAATGGTTGCCTTGTTGTCGACGTACAGCACTGGAGGAGAACGAGGCCGCTCTCCAAGGTCAGTCAGCAGGTAGGTGAGCCAGCGAAGCTCCTGGGCAGCCATGGCCGTGGCGTAGATCTCAGCCTCACAACTGGAACTGAGAACCGAAGAAGAGCGAGTAGAGCGCCAAGAGACAGAGCCAGAGCCAAGACTGAAGGTGTAACCCTGAGACGACCTCTGAGTAGCCTGGTCGTCAGCCCAAGAAGCGTCTGAGTGCCCAGTGAGCACAGGCCGCTCACGCCCTCCAAGCACTAGCCCCATGCCCGACGTACTGCACAAGTAGCGCAACACCCTCTTAGCTGCATCCATGTGCTCCTTCCGGTGACGGCCGGGAGCGACATAGCGTGCTAAGATGCTGAGAGGGTATGCGAGGTCAGGTCGAGTGCAGGTCATCAGGTACATGAGGCAGCCCACAAGCTCTGGATACGGACCACTCGACTCTACGGACTCATCCGAAGGCAGAGCTGAGAGCGAGTGTCCCGTAGGCAGAGGAGTGGACTGAGGCGAGGAGTACGTGAAGCCGAAGCGCTGAAGGACCTGCTGCACCATGTGTGACTGAGTCAGGGTAATGGTGCGGCGTGCTCTGTCCCGGGTGATCCGCAAGCCAAGATAGCTTGTCAGTTCACCCAGGTCTGTGCACGTGTGTCTCTTCTGCAGCTCGGACTTCACGTGAGCGAGTGCGGCAGTGTGAGCAGTGGCAAAGACCAAGTCGTCGACGTACACGAGGATGTAGAACGGCGGCAGCGAGGTGTCGGTGCGCAGAAACAGCGACGGGTCAGCAGTGGAAGGAGCAAACCCAAGAGCCGCAAGTGTAGTCCTCAGTGTGTCGTGCCACTCGCGCGGCGCCTGGCGGAGACCGTAGACTGGCCGCCGGAGGCTCCACTGGGTACCAGGAGGGAACGACCCAGTGAAACCAGGAGGGCGGCGCAGCCAGATCTCCTCGTGCAGGCGGCTCTGCAAGAAAGCAGTGCTGAAGTCAAGAGAGTGTAGCTCGTAGTCACGCTGAGCAGCGACGTGCAGCAGAACCCGAAGAGTGGTCATCTTCGGGGTCGGGGAGAAGGTCTGAAAGAAGTCAACTCCCCGTCGCTAACTGAAGCCACGAGCCACGTAGCGCGCCTTGAAGACAGGCGGAGAACCCGGCGGCCGCTTCACCCTGAAAATCCACATGCCACTGACAATGTTCGCCCCAGGAGGGGGAACAGCGTCAACGTAGGTGCCTGTGGACTTCCAGGAAGCCATCTCTGCGTCCATGGCTGACTGCCACTGAGAGGAGTAGGGACCGGCCATCGCCTCCACGTAAGAGCGTGGGGTCGGGATGTCTAGAGCATCCGGGTCTCCCTCAGGGGCAACAAGCATGGACACGAGATGGGGCAAAGTGGCAGCAAAGCACTGAAACTCCTCCTGCCTGTCCTCAAGGACGTCCGTGCCAAGAGCACAGTCACCCCCGACGGACGGAGGACAGGCAGATGCAGATGCAGCAGAGGCAGACTCCGCAGACTTAGCAGACTCAGCAACAAGACTGGCAGCGTAGTCTAAACGACACGCAGCAGCAAAGTCGACCAGCTCCGCAACTAGGGCAGACGCAGCAGCGGACTCAAAGGAAGGGTCAGTGACAAGAGAAGCAAGAAGACGCGTGACAGTAGGCCTGGCAGCACGGCGAGAGTCCGACTCCGGGTCGGCAAGAGTAGGAAGAGAAGACTCAGGAGGAGAAGGCAAAGGGGCACGCAGAGGAGCAGTGGACGGACGCAGAGACATCTGGTGTGTGCCAGGGACAGGAGGAGGACGCTGGCGCGAACCGCGACCACTAGGGCGAGCAGCCCGGACTGGCGACGCAGGGCGGGACGCAGGCTCACGACGCTCAGTAAGACCTCCAGTAGGACCAGTGTAGGGAGAAGGAGAAGGCAGGGGAGAGGCGGGCTGTAACGGTGACTGCGACGGGACAAGCCGTGGACACTCTACGGGAGGAGAAGGACCAGTGGAAGGCGGGAGACCAAGAACCTGCTGGAGGAGTGGAACGAAGTACGGCCGAGGCCGTGCAGCACCGCCAGAGACAGCAGGGACAGCACCAACACCTCCAGAGGCACGCCAGCACCAGTAGCAGCTCCAACTCCAGCATCTCCAGTAGCGCCAGAAGTACCCTCCGTAGGACCGACAGTCGTAGTCTCAGCGCCAGCACCCGCAGCAGCTCCAGCTCCAGAGGCACCCCCGGGCCCGGCAGCTCCAGTACTCGCAGTACGAGCACCTCCGGGACCCGTGGTACCAGCTCCCTCGGCAGCAACAGAACCTCCAGCACCCGCACCACCCCCAGCTCCAGCAGCGCGCCTCCAGCGCCGGGCAAACCACTCACGCAGCTCCAGAGGAGAGAGCGGCTCGCGGCTCGAACCACCAGGAAGAGAAGCAGCAGGCGCAGCACTCCCAGACGCAGTACCCCCAGGCTCAGCACCCCCAGGCTCAGCATCCCCAGTCGCAGCACCCCCAGGCGCAGCACCCCCAGGCTCAGCACCCCCAGGCTCAGCACCCCCAGTCGCAGCACCCCCAGGCTCAGCACCCCCAGTCGCAGCACCCCCAGGCTCAGCACCCCCAGGCTCAACACCCCCAGTCTCAGCACCCCCAGGCTCAGCACCCCGAGGCTCCGCACCCGCAGCAGCTCCAGAGTCACCAGTGACCTCAACAGGCTCGACCGCGTCTACCTGAGACACACCTGAAGGGGCAGGACCCTGAGGGGGGAGGGGGTCTACCGGGGGGGGACCTGGGACCAGGAAGAGGGGCGGTGGGGGAAGGGAGGGAGTGCGGTAGGGGAAGAGCCGGTAGAAGGGAACCGACTCGTCGAACGTGACGTCCTGGGAGGACAGAACACGACGAGAGGTGGGGTGGTAAAACTGCCACCCAGGTGCGTCAGGGGGGAAACCCAGGAAGACGCAAGGAGCAGCACGAGGGGACAGCTTGTCCGCAGACAAGTCGCGGACAAACGCCCGAGATCCCCAGACACGGAACGCCGACGCATCGCCAACCTTCCCCGTCCACAGCAGAGCTGGGGAGGTCTCCGGTCTGGAGACCCTGGGCTGAAGGTTGATCTGATGCGCGGCGTACCTCACCGCAAACGGCCACAGAAAATGGGGGGCAGCCGCATGCACCATGGACGTACGGGCGACGTCCATGACAATGCCGATGCAGCGCTCAGCAATCCCATTCTGCTGTGGAGAGTCCGGAAGCGTGAAGGTCTGGCGGATGCCTCGTGCACGACAGTAGGCTCGCAGAAGGCCGGAGGAGAACTCTCCGCCTCTGTCCGAGTGCAGACGTAAAACAGGAAAGTCCGAGCCGAAGCTCTGCCTGAGCTGGAGACGAGCTGCGCGGATCCAGTCAATCAACACCTCAGTGACCTCACCCTTGCTGCGCAAGGGGAAGACTGTGGTGTAACGTGAGTAGTCGTCAACCACCAGCAGGAAGTAGCGCTCGTGACCCTGTCCACGGACGCGGGCTGGGCCCCACACGTCCATGTGAAGCGTCTGCATCGGGGCCTCCGTCGGAGGAAAGGGGGAGGAGTGAGGGGTAGCCCGCAGGCGACCCTCAACACAGGGGACACAGGGAGGACCAGGCCCCGGAGGAAGGGGAGGGAGAGACCGGGGAAGACCAGAGACAAGAAGGCGAGAGGCCATGCCCCGGAGACGAGGCAGGGAGGGGTGACCCATCCTGTGGTGCCACAGGAGGGTCTCGTGGGACAGGAGGCGACACGAGCAGGGGGCAGACTCAGGACCAGACCTGGACGCTGCAGCAAACACCTGGCCCGACGCTGCTACCTGACTAGACGCAGGAGGAGGAGACGGAACAGTGAGTGTGTACAGGCTCGACCCCGGCCCACGTGTGAACGTGGTCAAGTGTCGACCCGTGTCCGCGTCCGTGCAGTGGGTGTCCCGTCGGCGCGCAGGGGTGAACTGGTCAACCCCTGCATCCTGTAGGTCAGCACCCGCCACCAAGTTCGTAGAGAACGAGGGGAGGCAGAGACTGGACAGGGCGCCAGACGGGACCGCAGGGCACGGCAGGACAGTGGAGTAGCGAGCCAGAACAGGACCCCCAGAGGGGTCCGCCAGGGAGACCGCCACAGGCCGACTGAGCGACGTGAGTGTGGTGCAGTCTCTAAAGAAGGAGCGAGACGCCCCTGAGTCAAGAGTGAAGGTGAGAGAGGGCGGAGCCGACTCAGTACCTGAGAGAGCAGACTCACCAGCACCTGCGGACACAAACGCACTGGCACCTAGAGCGACTGCCTCACTAGCACCTAGAGCAGCAGCCTCAACAGCACCTAGAGCCACAGTACCAATGCCCGGGCCGGGCGGGAAACACCGGTAACAGTCACCCTCCTCACTAATAGTCACAGCATACATGGCACGAAGAATAGCATCAAAGTCAAGATCAAAGATAGCTACTCCTGCCCTAGACAGCTGGTCCCAGCGAGGGATCTCAGAGGCGTCAGGAAACTGGCGGCGCCAAGCGTCAGTCAGGCGGCCGAAGCAACGCTGGACGGAGTGTGGACCACCACACTGCTCACCCGCACGGTCGCCAGTGCGCAGGACGTAGGTGCACGGACCAGGACCCCCACCCCTCTGACGTGCAGCGTACCACTCACGGAGCTGCTGCGGGGAGAGGGTCTCCTGACCACGCTGCTGCTGCTGGCGCTGACCACCACCGGAGCCACCCCTCCGCGATGAGCCACGACCGCCGCCGCCTCCTCCGCCGCCTCCTCCGCCGCCGCCGCCACCACCTCCACCGCCACCGCCACCTCCACCGTCGCTGCGGCCACCACCGCCTCCGCCTCCACCTCCACCACCACTGCCACTGCCGCCCCTGCCTCCACTGCCGCCGCTGACTCCTCCACTCCCGCCACCACTCCCGCTACCACCCTCACCTCCTCCGCTGCCTCCACCGCCGCCTCCACCGCCCCCGCCGCCTCCCCCACCGCCCCTGCCCCCCTTGCTCTTGCCAGAGCGACGTCTCCCACTGGGGGCAGACGCCGCACCGACCGACTCAAAACCAACGAGGTCGGCCGTGGCAGCAGAGGCGACAGAGGGCAGGAGGGGGGAGGGGGAACACCCCTCAAAAATGGGGGTGCGCGGGTCACCACGAGAGGCCCCTACAGCGAGAATGCTCTTCTCGGCCGCTAGGAGGGACTTCTCGAGGAGCTCAACGGTGAGAGTGGTGGGGCAGACTGAGAGTAAGTCGTCCCTGACTCCTCGAAGGGAGTCAGGGAGGCGGGTGACAATGTAGTAGAGAGTGAAGTACTGGGGGGGGGGGTTCTTGGCGCAGAACTCAGCAGGAAGGGCAGCGCGGAAGCGAGCGTCACTAGTGCGCAGGTGGGTAATGAGGTCGGCAACTGTGGCAAAAGCAGCAAGGTCGGGAAAGAGGTACGGTAGCATGAGGCGGCTCAGTGCAGCAGTGGCAGGGGTGAAGTAGCGTGCAATAACGGCGTCGTACAAGGTCTTAGCACTCTTGTACGACCCAAAGTGTGCACGCTCAGTAGGGGGGAGGTGGCGACGCACAGCAAGACGTGCAGCAGCATCGCGTGTGGCCCACACTGAGCGAACAGTGGCATCCTCAGTAGCAGCAGGGGCGGGAGAGGCACCAGAAGTGAGATCAAAGAGAGAGAGTCCGTCAGCTCTGTCGCACTGTAGGAAAAGTAGTAGGTCGTCTACCCACACGTCAAAGTCGATGGCTCTGCCCTCAGCGTCAAAAGTGAGGACACTGGGGGTAGCCATGACAGCAGTAGAGAGAGGGCAGTGCGTAGAGTAAAGCTCAGTGCTCACCAGACAGGGCAGTGCAGGGAGGGCCGGGCGGCTCGGGCGGCTCGACTGCTGGGCGGCTCGGGCGACTCGGCGGTTCGTAGCGGCTCGGCTGCTGGGGCGGCATGGCTGCTCGGGGCGGCTCGGCTGCTGGGGCGGCTCGGCTGGTGGGGCGGCTCGGCCGCTGGGGCGGCTCGGCTGCTGGGGCGGCTCGGCTGCTGGGGCGGCTCGGCCGCTGGGGCGGCTCGGCTGCTACGGCGGCTCGGCTGCTGGGGCGGCTCGGCTGGTGGGGCGGCGGGGCCGGTAGGTGCAGCGGCGGGCCGGCAGGTGCAGCGGCGGGCCGACAGGCGTAGCGGCGGGGCCGTCAGGTGCAGCGGCGGGCCGGCAGGTGCAGCGGCGGGGCCGTCAGGTGATGCGGCGGGCCGGCAGGTGTAGCGGCGGGCCGTCAGGTGTAGCGGCGGGCCGGCAGGTGCAGCGGCGGGGCCGTCAGGTGGTGCGGCGGGCCGGCAGGTGCAGCGGCGGGCCGTCAGGTGGTGCGGCCGGGCCGGCAGGTGGTGCAGCGGGCCGGTAGGTGCAGCGGCGGGCCGTCAGGCGCAGCGGCGGGCCGGCAGGTGCAGCGGCGGTGCCGTCAGGTGCAGCTGCGGGCCGGCAGGTGCAACGGCGGGGCCGTCAGGTGCTGCGGCGGGCCGGCAGGTGCAGCGGCGGGCCGTAAGGTGCAGCGACGGGCCAGCAGGTGCAGCGGCGGGCCAGCAGAGGGGACGGCGGGGCCGTCAGGTGCAGCTGCGGGGCCGGCAGAGCAGGCTGCGGGGCCGCGTACGAGAGGGCGGTGGGGCCGCGGACGGCGAGGCCGCGCCTGAGCAGGCGGCGGGGCCGCGTTGTAGCGGGCGGCGGGGCCGCGGCTGAGTAGGCGGCGGGGCCGCGTCAATGTAGGCGGCGGGGCCGCGTTCGAAATTGGCGGCGGGGCCGCGTCAGAGAGGGCGGCAGGGCCGCGAGGGAAGGGCGACACGGAGGGTCGCTCGAGCGAGAGAAAAAAAAGTTGGCGCGCCTCGGGGCGCGCTTCGGTGGGCCCTAGGCGAAGTTCCCACAGGGAACCCGCTCTATACCATGTGAAGTTGAGAGAGGAATGAATGCACTATGAAATGAAACGAGTACAAGTACCAACCCTAATTGGGTTGTACCCCCTATGGGCTACCCCACTACAGCCTAAATATATGCATCAGCAATATAATCATCTGACAACCTTCACACAACCTCCCCCAGCTGCCCCACTCCCCTCTCACACACCCCCTTTTCAAACCCTAGCTCCACTCCCACAGCACCCACCTTTTACACACCCCTTGCTGCACCCTAGGTTCACTCACACCCCACCCCCTAGCACCACTCCGTCGACTCCCACACACCCACCCCCCTCAGCGGCAGCTGCAGCAGTGGGAGACAGAGGAGGAGGAGGAGCAGGGGAGACCACACACCCGCCACCCCCTACTCGCCACCCCCAAACCCTAACACAGGGCAGGGCCGGGCGACGGGTAGGGAGGTTACGCGGGGGGGGGGGGGGGGGGCGACGCGCGGCCTCCCAGGGTGCCAAAACAGGCGGCAGAAGGGGCAACGCTCGCCCCCCCCCCCCCCCCCTAGGTCGCCTCGACAGGCGACGGGAAAAGAGGGGGGGGGGGGGGGGGGGGGGGGTGCACGTGCCCCTTGTGCGCCGCGACAAGCGACGGAGCATGGCTGGGGTGGGGCCGGGGCAGGGTCGAGGCAGGGCCGAAAGGGGCGGCGTCGGGGCCGCAAGGGGCGGTGACGCGGCCGCTGGAGGCGGCGACAGGGCCAATAGGGGCGGCGACGGGGCCGCGAAGGGGCCGCGAGGGGCCTGGAAGGGCAGCGACGGGCCGCTAGGGGCGGCGACGAGGGCGCAAGGGGCGGCGACGGGGCCGCTGGAGGCGGCGACGGGGCCGCTAGGGGCGGCGACGGAGCCGCGAGGGGCCTGAAAGGTCGGCGACGGGGCCGATAGGGGCGGCGACGGGGCCGCGAAGGGGCCGCGAGGGGCCTGGAAGGGCGGCGACGGGCCGATAAGGGGCCGCGAGGGGCCTGAAAGGTCGGCGACGGGGCCGCGAGGGGCCGAGCGGCGACGGGGCCGCGAGGAGTGGCGACGGGGCCGCTAAGGGTCGCGCGAGGGGCCGTGAGAGGGGCCTCTAGGAGTGCTCGACACGAGGGCGGCCGACGGGAAGAACAATTCGGTCGCACGCCACGGGGCGTGCAGCACACAGAGTAGCAGCGGAAGCAGTTAGGTAGGCCCACATGCCAGGAGCTTAGATGCTCTGATAGCATGTGAAGGAATGAGAAATGAGAGAAGAGGTGGTTTCACTAGCAGCAATGAGGATACATATAGCAAA